AAGAAAGAAGTGTTTTAAAAGAGAGAGCAAAGGCAAATTAAAGATCAAAAACTCAGTCGAAACCTGAAATCATTAGTTTTCTTTTCTTTCACATTTTGTTCTCTCAAATCTTTTATAAGTAAAAAACCTTTTTACAAAGAAACATTTTCTCTACATCTCCAGATCCGATCGTTTCATTCATAGATTCAAGAAGCTTTATTGCACAAGATTGTTATTAACAGGTTCTCTTCCATATCTTTTTTATTCTCTCTTTCTAGATCTCTCATATTTATGAACATGCATGTGCGTTCTTGTTAATAATATGATATCTAACCCAAAATAAAAATTAACTCTCACGATTCCCAGTTTTTGTCTCGGGAAAATGAAAATAGGATTCGAGTTTTGTATTTTTCATTCGTTTTCTGGGAATCCAAACACTTAACATTTTCTTCTGCAATAACCAAAATGTTTAATCATGCAAAAAAAAAAAATTACCAAAATGTTTAATTAGCTTTCAAAAAGATTTGAGGCATAGAGGGACCACTTCATACTCACTTTTCTTTTCTCTTTTACCATCTTTCTTTGCTTTCTGCTAATTATCTTTACTTTATCAAAATTGAAACCTTAATTTATGGTGGTGATTAAAATAGACATGTAATTTTAAGTTCTTCTCTTCTCTAAGCTTAAAAATTCTAATTTTGTTTTTCATAAACCGAAGTTTTTGGACCGAATCCCGTTATCCCTAAACCGGTGATAAGAGCTTACATAACAATCATTTTATGTAACATTTTAAACAAGGAAGCGGTAATAAATTTTATTGATCGAAACAACCCCAAAGGCTTCTGTTTTTGTGATGAGCTTAGAATTAATATAGCTAGTAATTATGTGTATTTTATTTTTATCTAATATCGTAAATTTACTACATCCTTTTTATATATTCAACTTTGTTTTCTTTTTGGTAAACTTATATAGAGCACCCCTACCCTCAATGAAGTTCTTAGACTTTTTTTTTTTTTTTGGTCAAAGGAAGTTCTTAGACTAAAAAATTAAAAATATAACATCAATATATTATTTTGTTTTCAAAAAAACTTATATTCAAGTTAGGGTAAGATTTTAGGGTTTATCGTTTTCTTACAAACATGTTGTTTAGATTTGGTTCTATTTCAAACTAAACTAAATTCTTTGGGATTTATCTAACTTCTGCTTCATCACTATCAACATTTCATAGAAACTTAATATTGTTCTTTTATATCAAAAATTTCATTTTAGTTTTTTTTTTTTTTGAGAAAATTTTATTTTTATAAACGGTAGGAGTTTCGAATCTTTGATTTATAATGTAATTCGGTAATTCGGTGACCGATGCCAGCAG